GAGAGGCCGAGCCGCTCCCAGCCCTCAGCAAGCAGAAAATAGGTGTAAAAAACGCGGGGGTGGTGTGTGTGGGGGTGTGTGTGTGGGGGGAGTACTTGGCACTTTCCCCTGGCGGCTGCTGGGTTAGGGACGTTTGTTCTGAGCGCTCTTTCCCGGGTACAAGAGATCCGGGGACAGGACTGAAGTTTGGGTCGTATTTTGAGTCCTTGTATTTTCGAGGGGGAGAACCGCCCCTCCGTCCTGCAGAGCAGAGCGGCCGGGGGCCGTCAGGCGGCTTAAAACTATGCGAGAGTGCGGGGAAGCATCTAAAAAGACCAAACTTCTGAAAGCCGGTTTCATATTTCTGCAAAATATCATACAACAATAAATTCCCCTGACAAGCTAATTAGCTTTTTTCCTTTCCCCTGCCGGATAGGAATGACAAGTTCAATAGCTCGTAGGTTACAGAAACCGCCATGGGTGCTTTTTGTTTTGTTTGGGGGTTGGTTTTTGGAGGGGCTTCCAGGATTCCTTTTTAAAGTTAAATATTGCTTAAAACGGGTGGGGAAGGGAGAGAGACTGTCCGGGCCGGGAGATTGGGAAAGAAGCGCAGAGCTGTTGTTACACGCAGGAAAGGCAGCCGGATCCGAGCGGGCAGCACCGGCGGTGGCAGCGTGCGGGGTCTCTGCCACCGGGGCGGGGGGGACACACCGGCTGCCGCCGTGCGCGGTGCTGAGGGCCGCGGTGCGGCCCGTCGGGCGCTCCGGCTGAGAGGGCTTCGAATAAAATCGGTGTGGAAAGGGCTGGATCCGGCTCCCGGGGAACTACGGGCGTACAGGAAAATAGGAGAAAGTGAGACGGATCAGGTTAAAGATACGGCGCGATAAAAAGAGTCAAAGGCTCCCGTGTTCCCCTCTGCACCCCCCGGGCGCACCCCGAAGCGGGGAGCAGCTGGAGGGGGCGGGGGTGTGTGTGTGTGTCTCCTTGTGCAAACGCTTGTGTAAAACGCTCCCCGTTGACAAGTGCCGGGCTGGAGCCTACCCCCCAGCCTGCCCCCCTCTTGCCCCCCCGGGCCTTGGCGGGGTCCCGGTACACCGGCCCGGGGTGTGGTGTGGGGGGGTATCCCGTCCCTCCCCGCCCCGCTGACCCTGCCTCTCTCCCCCGGCCTGCAGGTCAAGGTCTGGTTCCAGAACCGTCGCACCAAGCAGAAAAAGGACCAGGGCAAAGACTCCGAGCTGCGGTCGGTGGTGTCCGAGACCGCCGCCACCTGCAG